TGCATGATGAATGCCTTGCCAGTTTCAAAAGTTACCTGAGGCCAACACCAAAGCAAAGTCATGACTTTTTCTCAGAAGAAATATCAAACAGTGCTCTCAATATGCCAGGCACACTTGATCCATTACACAAGATGAACATCCTGAGTTCTTCTGTTCAGATCTGAGTGATGGAGATCTCAGTTGTTTAGGAAACTTCAAAGTTGCTTCTTTCCACAGGTAATTGGGAGATCACTGAAGTCTGGACTTCCCAGCTTGAGGATGTCAATTCACTGTGCAGCTAGACAATGGAGCACACATTTGTTTCTTCTGCCCTTCCTGGTAACTTTAAAGGAATGGTCCTGTACTTACTGAATTACAAGGAGGCTTTACCTACATAACTTCCAGGAAAAATCTGAATTACACCTTCTCCTCTGTTCTTTGAGACAGCTATGATCCAAAATACCTGTCATGTGCCCAAGATCCATGCGGCTTTCTGTCCCTTGACCTCAGAGAGGTCTTCTTGTTTTTTTTTCCAAATTTTAGCGCCTCTGAACAATTTTGTAAAGGTTTATTTTATTTTTAATTATGTATATATGGCTGTGTGTATGTAGCAGCAGGGTTGTAAACATGAGTATAGATGGCCACAGATGCCAGAAGAAGGTATTGGATCCCTTGAAGCTGGAGTTATAGTTGATTGTGAGCTGCACAATGTTGGTGGTAGGAATTCAATCCCCAGCCTCTGTAAGAGTAATATGTGTTCTTAGCCATCAAGTCATCTTTCCACTACCCATGCCATAAAATTTTGAAGTATAACATTAGTGAGCAGGCACCATATTGTTGTCCACCCCCCCACACACACACACACTCACACATGTTGTGTCATATATCCAATATATCCAATTTTCTCTTCAACCAGATGACCTTGTCCTCAGACTCTGCATAGGCTACATTACCAAGGAATTGGATGACAGGAGCTCCAATTAGTCCATAAGGAAGATAATGTATACAAACCACTGAGATGGTTGCTTAGCTGGGAAGTAAAAATCTAACTGCAATTTTCAAAGTTTGCTGTTGTTGTTTATAAAATGTGGATGCTATTGCCTACTCCATATGATTTGAGGAGACCAAGTATTGATGTGAAAGAGAGCAAAGTCTGATGAATATTGTGCTAAATGATCAACATGACATGAGGTGACAGTTCCTGACAGAAGGGTCCATCACATGCTTCTGCAACTTTTGATGTAAAAGCAGTACACATTTGGAAGAAATTGTCTGTTAAGGTTTGAACTAGGATCTTGTCCTTGACAAGCAATGTGCAGCTATGACTGTTTTTTTTTCTTCTTCTTCTTCTCAAGCTACAATCCCTAGTCAGCCACAACAATAAAGATCAAACAGTTTCTGCGCTGACCAGGGGTTGTTGGGTAGTTAGGTGGGCTAAACATAAGTTGATCTACAACTGTGTTTGTTGAGAAGTAATTTTACCATAAATCAGAAAGCATCTCTAACAAGTTTATGTATGTGTATAACATGTATTGATGTGTTTAATATGACTAAAATTAATATCTAAGGTAGGCAGGCTGATCTGTGAATTTAGGGCCAGTCTAGTCTACATAGCAAGTTCCAAGCCAGCCAAGGCTGCACAGTGAGACCCAAACCCAAAACAAGACAAAAGTCTATAAAAGAAATTTCCTTTGTTCAGTGCATTGCTGTTGAAGCTCCTGATTCAGCTTCTCTGGCTGAGGGTGGCTGCTACTGATGGATATTTCAGCTGAATCCATTTCCATTCCTCTCTGTGGAATTCTAAAAGACTTATTCTAAGCCATCAGTAAAGGCTACTTAAAACACCAGCTACCCCAAAGGTTGAGTCAGGAAGACAACAAACTCCAGGCCTTCCTGTGATATAAGACAAGTTCAAGGTCAGCCTGAGTAACAGTGATCATCTATCTCAAAGTAACAAGTAAAAAGGGGACTGGAGTTGGGAGGAGATTGGCTATGGTGGTGAGTACCTGTAGTCCTGGTACTCCAAAGACAGAGACAGAGGGAAGAGTCCAACTTAATCTGTAGTGCCAGACATAGCTACATAGACAACCTCTATCTCAAAGAGGGGAAGGGATGGGATAAACTAACATTTAAATATAATTCCAATCAAATGACTATGTAAATGTTTTGGTTAGAAGTGATTTAAAGACAGTACAGACTTTCCTCTTCATTTGTTAATTTTTCTCAGTGAATGGGGTGTACCAATTAAGTCTAAACTGATGTTTGTATCACTTGTTTTATCCATGTATCAAGTTGAATCCTATGTTTTTCAGTCTTTGCTGTCATAGATCCATTCTTTCCCTCTGTTGTTTCCTTATGGATGTTATTTTCTGTTTTCTTTTTCTGTATTTTAGGATTTTGGTTTTTTTCTGCCATTCATCAGAGGACACTAGCAGACAGTAAACATAGTAAAGGCAGGTGACTGTCCTCTCCTGCCTTGTCATAAGAAGCCGCACAGGGGCAGAGATTTCTCATGTATAAGACTCCAAAAGTGTTCTAGGCTAAGCTCAAGACTGAGTATCAGGCTCTGTCCTAGGCTAGGTACCTCTGAAAGTCCCTGATCTCTATGTATCTCATTTCCTCTGAAGTGAAATAGATGTCCCAGAAAGAGAAGACATGTGCACAGGGTGTCATCTTTTCTGACAAATGTTTTAGGGCTCCTTGGAGTAAAGGATGCAATTGGTAGCAACTAATAACAAGGAAAAGGCCACGGCGATCATGATGCCTACTCGATCATGGTGCCTGGCTTCATTCCTATCACTAGGCCCTAGCGATACTTAGGCCTTTTCCATCTGGACAATTCTACATTTTCCTGTCATCCATTTATTAGTCACCACATCCTCTCCTTTCATTTAATGCATACCGAGCATAAAACATTGTGAAGCTGCTTGTTTATTTCATCCTTAGTAGTTTGAAACTTAGAGCGACTTAGAGTTTGTGAAAATTTTCCATTTAAAACCAGTGACACCAGATGGTCTCTAGCCAAACTGATAATTACTTCCGACTTAAATAAAAACAGTCTAAGCAACAAACTCACAAAAATGGAATTGTGTGACATTTGTAGTTTTGACAATTATTTTAATGCTGAAATTGAACCCAGGAACTTGTAGCACCTACTCTACTTATGACCTAACCCATTCATTGTTTTTGAGGATTCCGAAAGCAATCTTTTAGCATTGACAAATAAATAAGGCTTAGTATTTTTGTCAATAAAATAGAAATGAGCTGTTATTTTAGAACCTTACTAAAAAAATATTTTAAAATGCCAATTATCTTGTGTCTCCAAGAGAACCATCATTAAGTTATGCAGCCATGTAGCCATATTTCCATTAAAAGCTTAGTGAATATTCTTAAATTTTTGCACTTTAAACAAGAACAGAATCAGAACCTATTTTCTAGTTTGTGATATATTTACTGTCCTTAAATACCATTTTATTATTGTGTGCCAAAAATCTTTACCAAATTATTTTCCACTTAAATGGAATTATTCCCATGTAGTATATTAGAGCATCAAGAAGGCTCTAGATCCACACTCTTTCTTACAGAAAGTTCTGAATATGAGTATAAATGCGACCTTCCTTAGCCTCTGGTTAACTTAAAGACTTGTAGATTTCTTAACATCTAACCTGAAATTGGACAAATCTTCTTCCCAATCTCCAGGCAGCAGTGGACAGGTAGATCTTGCACCCTGAGGTATAAGGACCCATGTGGGTAACCTGTCCTTAAAATAAAAGTAAGGACTGACTAAATACGTCCTACTTCTCATTCCCAATCTCATCAATGACAGTAATAGTAATCACCCTTCCCTTCCTTCCTTTGGAAGATAAGAGAAAGTGTAGGAAAGGAATAGAGAGTAGCATAGCCTAGCTCCCTCCACTGCAAAAAAAAAAAAAAAAAAAAAAAAGAAAAGAAAAGAAAAAAGAAAAGAAAACGAGAAATGGTGTCTGGACTGTAGCTGTAGATGTGCCATGATTTATATGACCAGTCCCTGGGAGACACTTGGCTCATTTCCAATGATTCCATTATATCACAAATTATTTTGTCTGGACATGATTATTGTCCCCACAGGTACAAAACGGATGCTCAGTGTTGTCTGGGATACTGTGATTAGTGTTGGACATGCATTTTGAATTCAAGTTCTCCTGACTCTAATGTATACTGTCTCACAGCTCCAAAGTCACCTAGGCGATGATGCATCAGGTATTGTGGACAAGAATTCATGACAAGGGTGGGACTTCCTAGATTTCAACTATAGGTAAAAGGACAACTAGAAAAGTACCCAACCATGTGTAAAACAATTGTGTAATAGCAGGCATCAATACTACTGGGAAAAGATACCGCGGGAAAAGATGTAGGTTTGGCAGGATTCCATGAACGGGAGACTTGTTCTCATTGCTGCCAGTCAGGCTGAACCCTCTTATGGCTGTCTATCCTCAAAGCATAGCTCTTAAGCATTGCTCTGCTTCAGTTCAGCTGACAACACCCTACGCTTCCTAAGAAGCTGGAGAAATTACAGACAGGTGTCAACAGAGCCCGAGTCCCTGTGGTTTTTATTGGAGACATTGTCATAAACCATAAAGTAGAGAAAGTAGCACCCAGGTGCCAGCGACAAGACTCTACTCAGATGGTGGGGGGTTGTGGGAGGATGGCAGCCCTTCCTAGAGACTACCAGTTTGGTCTGAAAATGGATGTTTCGTTGACAGCAGACATTTCTGCTGTCAGCCGCACACTAATGAAAGGCTCTCATATTCTACATTTTAGCCTAATGGTTACAGCATTTTTGTTGTCTCTCCCAGTACCACCACCGAATGCACACACTTCTTCATACCCCAAAGTCCTGCTACTCATTCTGACTTGAGAATCACAGCCTTGCTTTTGTGTTATATGTAGAATGTTTAGCTGGGGTAGTTCTTTCCCTAAGAGTGGCTCGGCTGGGCCAAGGTCCTGGGAATCGTTTGAAGGTCTTCGCCGGGGATGCCATCCTGCCCTTGGGTGACATGGACAGGTGTAAAGAAAACTGTGTTTCCAGACCTGTTAAGACTACAGGTCCCTTCGGTCCAAAACGAGTCTTGGTGACAGAGCAGATTCCTTCTCAGAACCTAGAATTGGCTAGCAGTGGCCAGGCCTTGTGTCATTCCAACTCCTCCCACCGTGTCCCTTCACAAGCACAGAAAGTTGTCTCAGGTCAGAAGCCAGTGCCAAAGCAGTTGCCACCTACCAGCGTTCCTTGGCCCGAGCTCCAGCTTAGTAACCCTCAGAAGAGTGAACAGCCACCCCCTGCGACTCTGGAAGTAATTCTGAAAGTGATAGGGCATCAAAGCAGAAAACTGAAAACTCAAAAAAAAAAAAAAAGGGCAGTGGACTCTGCAAGACTTTGACATTGGCCACCCACTGGGTAAAGGAAAGTTTGGAAATATCTACTTGGCAAGGGAGAAGCAAAGCAAGTTCATCCTGGCCCTGAAGGTGCTGTTTAAGACACAGCTAGAGAAGGCCGGTGTGGAACACCAGCTTCGGAGGGAAGTGGAGATCCAGTCCCACCTGCAGCACCCCAACATCCTCAGGCTGTATGGATATTTCCATGATGCCACCAGAGTTTATCTAATTCTAGAATACACACCCCTTGGGACAGTCTACAGAGAGCTCCAGAAACTCTCCAAGTTTGACGAGCAGAGGACGGCTACATACATCACGGAGTTGGCAAACGCTCTATCTTACTGTCACTCAAAGAGAGTCATCCACAGAGACATTAAGCCAGAGAACCTGCTTCTTGGGCCAAATAGAGAGCTGAAGATCGCAGACTTTGGATGGTCTGTGCACGATCCATCTTCCAGGAGAACCACACTATGCGGCACCCTGGACTACCTGGCCCCCGAGATGATTGAAGGCCGGATGCACGATGAGAAGGTGGACCTCTGGAGCCTGGGTGTCTTCTGCTATGAGTTCCTAGTTGGGATGCCTCCTTTCGAGGCACACACCCACCAGGAGACCTACAGGAAGATATCACGGGTTGAATTCACATTCCCTGACTTTGTGACCGAGGGAGCCAGGGACCTCATTTCAAGACTACTAAAGCACAACTCAAGTCAGAGGCTAACACTAGCAGAGGTTCTTGAGCACCCCTGGGTCACAGCTCACTCTTCAAAACCTTCGACTTGCCAAAAAAACAAAGAGTTAACAAGCAAATCATCTGCAGAATGCAATGAGCCAGAGGAAGCCAGACCACAGGGTGGAGGTGGCAGAGGACTCACTCATCCATACATCCCTTTCTAGCTCCTGGGTAGTCAATGTTTAGCATTTCTGATGCATATTCCCTAATCACAAAGGTATTGGAAGTAAGACATGTACACAATGAAAAATTGAAGTGGAAAGTGACACATGCCCCGTGGGACAACTACTCCATACATGTCAGTTTGTGTCTGTCCTCACTCTTTTTACCTCTTCCTCCCAGAGAGTTGCCCCAGCTCTCCTGTTTTCTGTATTCAAAGGAAGAGTTCTATGAACCAAAAAGATTCAGTGTGCAAACCTATACTGGCCAACCTTACCTTAGACTGAATCCATAGAATGGGATTAAACCTAATGAACTTGTTAAAGGATATGTTGTAGTGTGAACAATATTGAACAAACTCAAAATTGAACACCAGTGTTTCATTTCTGTAATTGTGCTGTTGCTGTAGCTGTGCCTGTTACTTTTGCTCCCATTCATTGGTAGTGCATGGTAATTTTGGAGCCGCCTTTTCCTCTTCCTGTGCTTTGTATTAATCTACAAAATCAGTGAACTAGTCTCACCAACTTTCAGCTCTCCATGCTGAAAATAAAGTTCAAACAAATGCAACAAGAGAAGAAATCGCAGTGCTCAAATATCCAATAAGGCGGGGGAAATGAGGACTCTAATTTAGAAGGGCAAGTGTTCCTATATGGGGTAATTTGTTGTCTTCTCCATCTTCAGAAGCCTGTGTCTAGAACATTGTCCTGATACAGTTAAGTCACCATAAAGACTTATTGAATATATATATAGTTTACACTGTACTAAATGAAATTTAACCATGTATTAAAGAACAGTATGGTTGGTATTAAGGTTAAAAACAAAAACCAGACACAGAAGGAAACTGAGGAATATTTTATTCTATTGAGTCCTAGTATTAGGTAAATGTTCATTTTGTTCATATTTAAGTAAGTTTAGTGAATATTCATTGGTGTAATCTCTCTTGTTGAGGGTTGAGTACTTGATATGTTCATATATCAAGAGACATGACAGAGTCTCAAATAATTAAATTTATTCAACTTCAGGTTTTCTTAGTCCACTTCTCTTTAAGAAATAAGTTTTGGCTAGTGATATGGCTAGGCTGGTAAATGTACTTTCTGCAAAGCCTAGTGACAGGAATTTGATCCCTGAAAACTACATAGTGAAAGGAAAAGACCAAGTCCTACCAGCTGTCCTCTGATGTCCACATATGTGCCATGCACATGTCTGAGAAAGCACACATACTACATAAATGCAAATAATCTTATTTATTAATATCTATGGAGTTGCCATTGTGTTAATAATGCACTAAATTAAACATCTAATCCTGGAAATTGATTAAACAATCCCAATGTCATGTTTATTGTTATAATTAATAACATTTAGGGTTTATAAATGTAAGACTACTTCTCTTCTCCCCCTTAAAAGTTTGGAGAAATGTCTAGCATTCTAATTTATATTGATTTGGTCAACATTGTATAGGTGATATCTGGAATTATACTTTCATGTATAAGAACTCAATGGGAATTTGCAACCATTTTCTTGCTTCCTCATAGGGCTTAACAAGCAAAGAAAATCAGGGACTGAGAAGATGGCTCAGTGGTTAAGAGCAGTTATCACTTTTTCAGAGAATCTGGGTTCAACTCCCAGCACACACATGGACTAACAACCATCTGTAATTCTAGTGCCAGGGCCTCTGAGCAGTCACCATGCACTCAAATGGTATACATGCAACATGGAAGCAAGAACACTCATACACATAAAAAAAAGCTAAAAATATTTTAACCTAGGCATATCAACTTCAGAGACATTTTCTTCCTTTCCTCTGGAAAAATAATGTCATGTGATGTTGGAAGCCGAGAATCTCTTCAATCCGTGTATTTTCATACATGTATACTCCTGAGATGCATAATATTTGGAACTGAGAAAAATGGCTAATCTACCTGAGATAAGTGCTCTCCTGTTGAGTGAGAGGCACCAATGGCCATGGCCAAGAAAATAAGCATGGTAAATGGGAGCCTGAACCAAAGACCTTCTGAGAGGAGACAGAGTCTCAGAATGGACATCACCGGAACTTGGATCCCTGGGCTTCTCTGATGTTTTCCCCTTTGTAAGTCAGGGAGTCTAGAGAAAGTTACATTATCTCATCCCAGAATTATTATAAGAACTGAAGTTGAGTGCATTCATGTTTATCTGGCACACACAGCCAAGAGGTGTATACGTTGTGTACAATGTTCTAAGCATAACTGCATTGAAGACAGATCATCTGAATGAAGTCATATGTGGAATTTTCCACTTGTAGGTTATTTTGTTATTCAAGATCCTCAAATTTGGAGTCTTTTGATTGGGTGTTATTAGCCTGTTATAATAGTCTGTAAGTGAAAGCGTTTCCCAAAATGAAAATGAGCCACTCTTGCACTCATCTAGCAAGGGGGAGCCCGTGCACATGAAGCCTGGGTTTAGCACTCTATTCTCCTCAGATGCACCGAGACATGATGCTCCTTAAAATATTTTCCTTCATGTCAAAACTCTACCCCCAGAACTTTAATCCCATTTGTCAAATTCCACCCATAGCTTCTCAAGGTATGTCAGAAACAGCACATTCACCTGCCCTTGATATCTGATCCTTTTCTAGATTCCTTCTTATAAAGATTGCAGTGTCACTGCCCCCACAGTATTCAATATTCAGTAGTCACACATAGCTTGCCCAAGCCTGCAGGCTGGGCAATATCTTTACATTCTCCCAAGAATCAATCACCTGGTAAAATCTCTGCTGTGAATTTATTTTGTGTTTCTCTCTCTCTCTCTCTCTCTCTCTCTCTCTCTCTCTCTCTCTCTCTCTCTCTCTCTCTCTCTCTCTCTCTCTCTCTCTCTCTCTTCTCTCTCTCTCTCTTTCTCTCTCTCTGTGTGTATGCATTATTCAGGTGTGGTATATGCGTGCTGCATACAAATGAGTGTGCCTGTATACAGAGGCCAAAGCCTTCAGGAGTTTTCCTTATCTTTCTCCATTCTCTACTTTATTACTTTCAGACAGAGTTTCTCACTGAACAAGAACTGCCTATTGTAGCTAGACTGCCTAGCCCTCTCAGGATCTGCCTGTTCTTTTCCCCCAATGCTGGGATTACAGACACACATAGTGAGGCCTACATCTTTAAGTGGTACTAGGTTCCAGGTTCAGGTCCTCAGGCTTGTCCAGCAGACATTCCTACCCACTGAACCACCTCACCATCCCTGGTCCCATATCTTTTGTAGAATGAATTTTCTCTATCCAAAACAACTATGTTCAGATCCTAAACCCCCATGCCTATGAAGGTGACTTTCTTTGAAAATAGGGTCTATATAGATGCAATCAAATTTAGATCCTACTGGAGTAGGATTGGCCTGCCTCCAAGGATTGGTGTTAAACTTTTGTAAGAGAAAAGGATAAAAGAGCCTTTGCCAGTGGGGGAGGGAAAAGGCTTGCTATGTAAAATAGCATGCCATTCTTTATTAGTTAGTTCTAAGTGATTCAGTAATATTGAAACAACAAAGGGAACAGAGAATGAGTCAGAAGAAAGGACTAAAGCAAGAAGAATATGGAAGATCTGTTTTATTCTATAGAACCTGGATTTCTTTTTACCGAGTGGGTGATACACTTACTGGAGGGACATTAGGGTGACCAAACAAAGACTTCATATTTGCAAAGAGAAAGCAGTCAGTCAGCCCCTTCACATTATAAAAAAGTGTATGATGTTTCATATCATATACAGATACATATGTCCTGTGCGTTTATGCAGTTTCATACTTATTTATATGGATTTCCATGAACACATATATCTGCTATGATTTAGTGGAAATTTGTATAGATTAAAACATAGTCAATCACAATTTCAGTCAGTTTAACCTATAACAAATAGAATGATGGGAGAATAGGTTGTAAAGTAAAATGCCTGTGGTCTGGTCTACATCTTATTGTCTAATTTTGAATTTCTCACAAGCAGGCTTACTCGATGATTTGATGTCCAAGAGTTTACCGGACAGGTAAAGGACACGTTGGTGGAAGAAAGAATGAAGAAATGGAATAAAGAAAGGCAGCTGGTAAAGGACAGCAGATGGCAAGCTAGCTAAGTCAGGTGGCAGCACAGACTGTATCTGAGGGGCAGATGTGGAAGTGCCTGCAGAGACCTCTCAGAAGTGTCTGCCTCAAGGATGAGGAGAGTGCTTGCCCACTGCCATACAGCAGGAGCTGGTTGGGAGCTGCTATTGAAGGCAAACAAAATGACATTCCAGAGTGAAGAGAGACAGGGGGCATTCATATGGTGAGGTCAAAGAGGTACAGCCTGCACTCCCATATCCATCACTCACCAGATTTTCCCAAGACCCTTAGTACCTTAGAGTTTATTTTCTTACTAGTAAAATGAGGATCTCAGTCCTCTGGTCTGGGAAAGAGTAGCACATTTTATCAAAGGATAAACAGATCCCACTAATTCGACACTTACCGGTGCTTATACACCAAAATCAGCAGCAAGTTCAAAATGTACAAAGCATTACCTTTCAGCTTGCCCCTCCTTCTCTGCATTTAGCTTACTCCTCAGAGAAACCCAGTATGTGAGCTAGGAGAACAGAAAACCTTGAACTCTCTGGTATATACTCTTTGAATGGGAAAGTGACATATGTCTCTTCCCTGTGTTTCTTGCCATCCAGTGCAGCCCACTTACAACTAATATTCCTGCTTCTGTATCGGAGGAGAGTGGCAGTGGCAAGGTCACTGGTGCCCAACAGAAAGCCAGTGCTGTTTCCATGGTGCCAATCTGAGATTTCTGGATGTGACTGCAGCAAAGAAGAGTGCTGATCTCAGAGGACGCCAGCTGCTGAGCAAGGATGCCTCAGTGAAAACTGTTACGACTGGTATGAATGACAGCTTCATACCTGGACAGAGATGGGGAAGTCAAGACTCTCTTCCAAGCAGTGACTGCCCATTGAATGTCTAAGACTTCACCTATGACCATGCCGTCCTCTGAGTTACCATCCCCCAAGTACAATTAGTCCC